GTGGTGCAAATCCACCTGATTTACCAAATGTCCGCCTCAGCTCGTGGGCAGTTGTAGGATCGTATGGGCGTTCCCATGATTTCTTCCCGATCGGTAGTGGTATCACCCCGGGCCCCTTTCATTGCATCGCTAGGGCAGAAACCTATGCAGTCCTTCAGGCTTTGCGCTCGGCAGTTCGCGTAGAAATTTTTACTGACAATTCCTCCGTCGTTCTTGGTTTGCAGTCCATCCTGAGCAAGGGCTTCGACGTTTTCCACTGGCGCAACCACCCCAGTTTTGATTTGTGGTGTCTTATTGCCCAGGAAGTCATCACGCGTGCCCCAGGGTCTGTGAAAATATCCAAAGTCAAGTCCCATCGTCACCCTACTGAGGCTGAAGATCAGTATGACCTTTGGACAATCCTAGGCAATAACGCGGCAGATGAATTAGCCAGAAGCACACTGTCCCGATCAAGCCGCGTTTGGAATTTTGTAGCAGAACGTACAGCAATTGAGACTGCTTATAAGTGTAGCTTGTTTTTGCATGAAGTTTCACGCCTAGTCATGTCCCATAGAAAGGCAAACCCGCGGCATCAGCCTACTCCCACACCGACCCCGGAGAGTGTATCGGTACAGTACAGCCCTTGGCCAATCCATATCCCCGGCCCTTTCCAAATTCAGACATGGGATGAAAAATGGCTACAGCTTTTCGCACATTACTGGACGCTTTTGGAGTGGCCATCCCCTTTTGAGAGCCCGCCGCCCTCCCAAGGGGTTTCTTTCATTGAACTTATGTTAGATCTTTGCATTTCTTTTCAAGTCATGGTGCCGATCAACCTTAAAGTGCTCAAGGGGTCTAGTTTTTGTGATGCGCCTAAGGTGAATCATAAATCCCCGGCAGTTTATTTCCTCCCAAACCGTTCCGAAGCCACCCGACTGCCCCCACAGGTATTAACGCAAGCCGCAGGTACCTTTGTGAAATGTTTTGATCTCCTTAATGCTTCTTTGAAGTTGACTCCTTATCCCCGCGAAAATCTGCGATCATTGTCATCTTACGGGTTTACCAATGTTGTTCCCTCTTTGAAATCCCGACCCAACCTCCTTTCAGGGTCCCACGTTCGACACCTTCTTGAATCCATCATAGTGCCGGGAGTCCGAGTCCTGAAATATTCGTATCGCATCCCCCAAATCACACCTCGTCCGTTGCCGGCCTGCTTCCCACAACACTTCTGAGCTTAATTCGCAAATTCGCGAAGCTCGTCTCACGCCTTTCGCTGGGGACGCAGCTTATTCCACGTCGCGCTTTAACCTTTTTTGGGTAGTGTAGTCCCTATATAACACCTATATAACCAAAAAGGTCAACTTTTAGTTCCCCATGATATCTGACAAGTAGGTGTCTGAATCCTGGACATGATGCCAGGCGGAGCGGGGCGTGGCAAAGCTTCTGGACTCTCAGAGGCATGCTCCGCTTGTCGCATTGTCTCAGGGCCGGGTTGCTTTCGCCTTGTTATGGTTTAAACTCGATCTGAAGGGCCCTTGCGCAAAACGTTCCCTGCAAGGGTCGCGTTTGAAGGACATGAATGTCCCTTCGACGTAGCTCAAGCATCATTCTCATGCATAGCTTACTAACCCATAAACTAAACCCTAAACATATTCGGAAAAGGTCCCTTAAACAACAAAATCAACTGAATGTGGCGGTGGGAATAGTAGACGCTACCCCCCCCCCCCCCCCCAACCAAAAACTTTTGGTCTAATTAATTTGGAACCGGTAACCCCGGACAGGGGTCAGGGATCTGAGTGGGGCTCAGGGTCTGGGTGGCTTTGATTATTTAATTAAATTAGAAGGGAATTGTGGGGTCACAGCTAGGGCCTGGGGGGCTTTGAATAATTAAATCAATTGATTAAATAATTAGAGGGACTCGGGAGTCTCGGGGTTTGGGCGCCTAAGTAGAAGGGTTTGAGGGATTTTGTAGGGTTTGGTGCTTAATTAAGCACTCGGCCTTAAGAGGTTTCGGGAGCTTTGGGGTGGTTTGCTTTGGTTTTAATACTGTAGTACCGTAGTACAATAGTAGTACAATAATAGTGCAGTAGTACAATAGTAATACAACAGTAGTACAGTAGTAGTACAATTGTAGTACAGCAGTACAGTAGTAGTACAGTAGTAGTACAATAGTAGTACAGTAGTAGTACAGTAGTAGTGCAGTAGTAGTACAGTAGTAGTACAGTAGTAGTAAAGTAGTAGTACAGTAGTAGTACAAGAATATAGTACAGTAGTACAATAGTAGTACAGTAGTAGTACAGGAATAGTACCAATACGCAAAGCATAAAGCCAGTGAGCACATTCCCCCAATAAGCAAAGCATAAAGCCAGCGCCTGAAACGCTAAACCCTAACAACCGTTAAACCCTGAACCCTAAACCCTAACAAACCCTAAACCCTAACGAATCCTAAACTCCCAAACCCTAACAAACCCTAAACCCTAAACCCTTCCCAAAGGGGTGTCAGTCCAGATTCGACCCACAATTGAAGTTTGTTATACAAACTTTAGTACTGGAGAGGCCTCTTTTGAGCAAGGGTCCATTCCCGATTCGGCGGTTCACCCTAGCAGCCCCCCCCAATAAGCAAGGCATACAGTAGCAGTGCAATAGTACAATAGTAGTACGGTAGGTAGTTGTACAGTAGTAGTACCTGACGCCCCAGTAAACCAAACAATTCTGCAAGAGATTTTCGGGCTTCAGGGCCAGGGTTTTAGGGTTTTGGGTGGGGGTTTTAGGTCGTGGCTGCCTTAAGATTGACCATCAGCAGACAGCACAGCCCCACCCAAAAAAAAACATACCAGCCAGAAAAAAACGCATTAATAATTAATTAGACCGCCCAAATTTTTGGTGCCGGTCTGAATTCGACCCGGAGAAAACGCATTAAATACGCCCATATTCCTAAACCGGCCGCCACATTACGACCTTGATAACCATAGGCCCCATAGTATTTCCTTTTTTGGGGGTTCATGTTTAGAATTCTACAAGGCAATCCAAAAAAGGAACGACTATGGGGCCTATGCGCAACCGTGACTTCAGCAAGGACTAGCCTGATTCCACTGCTCTCTCGGATTACTTTTGGGGCTTTGGGGGAGGGTGCGGGGTTTTAGGGTTTATCGGGCTTGGGGCTATTGGGATTCTAGGGTTTGAGTTTTGGGGTTTTGGGGGTTTTCGGTTCGGAGTTTAAGCTTAGGTACTGAGGGTTTAGGACTTCAGGGTTTTAGAGCTGACGGAGACGATGATTTGGCTCTCCTGTGAGGTTTCTGCAAGGCTGCAAGCCCTGGTTGTATAGTCTAAACCCTAACCCCCCCTCCTCGCAATAACATCCTCCCACAGCCTACACCGAAAAATGAAGCTATTACATGATGTGTCAAGCCCTACACCCTTAAAGCCTAAACCTTCCACCCTAAACCCTTAAACTCTTAAACCCAAAACAATTCAATCCCAAAGCCAGGACATGTAAACTCAAACCGTACCTTCCTAGACCCCACCCCAACTACCCTCTAATACCCACTATTAACGACCATAAGGGATCCATTAAAGCGCCCTTGAAGGGTCCTGGTTGCCTCTGAAGATTAAACCCCTAAACCCTTAAATCCTAAACCAAAACGGCCCAAAACAATTAAGCCCCACAACCTATAAAACTCTCAGACCCTAATCTGTAAACACAAATCGTACCTTCCCAGACCCCCTCTAATAGACCCCCCCCAAAGACCCACTATTAACGACCACAAGGGCTCCATTAAAGCGCCCTTGAAAGGTCCTGGTTGCCTCTGAAGATTCCAAACAGCAGTTAAACCCTAAACCCTAAACACTTGAACCCCAAGCCTAAAACCCTCAAGCCCTAAACCGTAGCTTGTCTCTGAAGATTCGAGGCGCCAGGCGCCACGGCTTTGGTTCCTCAATGCCGGGCCCTCGGATTTCCAGGGCGCCTCATGATAGCTCTATAAGAGTTTAGGGTTTAGGGTTTCGGGGTAGGGTCAGTACTTGTTTCAAAGCAGTTTAGGGCTTAGGGTCTTGGGATCAGGGTTTTGGGTTTAGGGTTTCGGGTTAGGGTCCCTTCTAGGGTCTTGTTTATGAGGGGCCGTAATTTAGAGAACTATGTATCCTCATGCTTTCACTTTGGACTCTCCTGTTAAGCTTGACTTAGTGGTTCACGACCCAATTTTTGAATTCTTGTGGCTCTTCTTGAACGGGGGGCTACTCCCTGGGGGTTTTCAAAAGGAAGGTTGTTTAAGGTCCTGGTAGGCCTTATACCGCAAAGCCCGACTTCCTTTCAGGATGCACTCCTTGTCCGTGCCCTCGTTGCCGCACAGGATCTCGGCCAAGGCTCGGCCACTGCAGGGACGCTCTTGGGGTATAGAGTTACTGTTTTTGTTGAAATAAGGGTTTACAGGGGACTACCAGGGTTGGTAGGATTTTGTTCGAGGCTTCGGGCGTTTATTGTTGTTAGGGAGGGGGTTCAACCCTTCTTTTGTTCCGAGAGTCCTTAGTTTGAGCGTGTATATGGCTTTCAGTTCAGGTATAGCTTCAGGAGTTTTTTTCCGGCTTCCGTCTTTTCATGTACAAGAATTATATACGGATTCAGGGCACCAAAATCCAAGCCATACCAACGAAAGTGAAGACAATCGGGGCGCTATTGCCTGAAGCCAAAGCCGGACTGAGTCCCAGTTCATGTAAAATTTCAGCTGCTGGCGTAAAAATTCTGGGCAGTAAGCTTATCTCCCCAGAGGTCATCCTAAAAACTTACAACCTAAGTCTTGAATGGAGCACCTCCGCATACCCACACCCCGACCCCAAATCTTTAGTTTCAACAAAGAAGCTGTAAACCGCATAAAGTCTTCAACAAACCTCAAACACCCTACAAATCCTAGCCCTAGCATACCTTACCCCCCACACCCCAAAATTGCATATTCTGTCTCACGCTCTGCAGCTGCCCAAAGAAATCAGAGAGCGCGAGAAAGAGTTGAGGAGCTGTTAGAACCGCCATGGCCTGGCCCGATCTGCGGCCACCGGGGACGAAGGGAATCAAGCGAAACCTCCAGGGCGACGCGCCGGGCTCAGGGCTTTTTGATGTAGGAACCTGATTAAGAAACCCTGGCCCTATGTACCCCCAAAATAGTAGGATTCATATGAGGAACCTTAACCAAGGCCCAAGGTTTCTTAAAGACAAAACCCGTGGACTTGAACTATGCACTTTTTTGGTTATGTTGAGGATAAAGTTGCTTTGAGCGGGACAAGATACGAGTGGGCGGGGGGAAAGAGAGCAGTTTTCAGGCTTCAACACTGTAAATGCTACTTTATGACTTGTCGGAAAGGTTTGGGGACCAACGGGTTTCGGAGCTCTGAGTGGATGGATGGATGGATGGATGCAGGTGTGTATGTATGTGTGTGTATATATATATATATATATATATATGTAATCATGTACATACACACAGGTTTTGGGGGTCGAGGACCGACGTAAACTATTTTCATCCTCAGTGCAAGTCTCTCTCCAGAAGGCATCCCTACATCGAAGAAAGGCCAATCTAGAACGTTCCCAAGGTGATGTCCGTCCATGGTATCTTCAACTACCAGAGCCCCTTTATCTCGCGGACCCTCGCTGGGCGCTCGGAATTTAAAGTTGGAGGTTTCGCAAAGACCCAACCTTGAAGTGAGGAGGATGCCGTAAATCATAGTAAAGCTTCCCGAAACCCTCAAGACGCAACAAGGATTCCCTCCAAACCCTACACCCTCGAATCCTAAACCAAATTTCCCCCATGAGCTGAAGGTCGAGGTGCGTGCGGGGTTTCGGGTCGAAGTCAGCGCTCTAAAAGAAGAGTTTAGGGCTTGGGGTTCGATTTTCAGGGCATAATAGGCTTTGGGATCTGAATCTCTGGGTTCAGGGTTCCCTCAGAGAGACTGTGAAGAAAAGGTAGGTTTTTGGTGGCTACAGGCAGCAGTTAATTGTATAAGGGTCACAGCTATGGGTTCGGGTTTGAGGCCGAAACCATGGTTGAGTTCTTGGCTTGGGTTTGCCGATCTGGGGTCGAGGCTTTAGGACCGTTTAGGAGTACTCAAGGCTACGCAGGGCACGGCAGGGCACGGATGCTTTTCCGGCTCATCTGCTCTAACGATCCCAAATGGCTCAAAGTACCTTTATAGTAGAATGTAGGGTTTCTATATTAGGAATTACTATTACGATTTGGGGAAGTATCCCCCATAACAGTACTTAGGACCCTTTGGCAATGGTCGCTATGGCAGCTAGGGCTTCTGCACACAGTTGCAGGTTTCTCGTCGTGGTATCTGGCGTGGAAATTGCTGGTTGAGGGTTTATCCACGAAGAGAGCTTTGTTTGATGCCGTGGGTTTCTGCCTCTTCAGCCGTATAAAAACCTGGCTCATAGGGCTAAGAAATTCCACGGCGGTGCATTTGTATTGTTTTTGTGGAATGAGGTCCAAAAACTATAATAGTCATGGTCTTCCGGGACCTAATTCCATATTGGTAGCATTTGCGGACCCTCCCAGACCTTCCAAAATCCCTTAATTAAGGAATATACCTTAAATCATAGTAGGATCCCTAATATGATTTAAGGTATATTCCTTAATTAAGGGATTTTGGAAGGTCTGGGCTCTAACCCTAAGGGTCCGAAGGATCCGATATTAAGCTACTCGGGTTTAAGGTTTAGGGTTTAGGGTCTCGGGTTTAGTATTTGGCAGAGTATATGGTTATGAGGTGCTAGGACCGTCAGGGTAAGATTCGGCTAATTATTAAGGTCCCTATATAGAACCCTACTACTATAGATCCCTTGAAGAGCCCTTTAAGAATCCACTTAAAGGGAACCCTATTCTAATCATGTTGGGTAGCATATGTGGACCCTCAAACCCGAAACCCCTAAACCCTAAAGGATTGGGAGTCCACCAGGATTTCGGAGGCTGTCATGGTCTTGCAGTACGGCTCAGGGTTGGGGGTCTACCTATTCGTAGTTCCTTTTTTCCTTAACGAGTTTTTTGGTTAGGATCCTATATGGTTAGCTGAAAAAAGGAACCACAACTGAGACTACAGGTAGGGTCATACTTACTAGTTTCGGTTGAGGCGTGCCCAGGGTGCTCCAGGTTTACGCTTAGCCCTTCCGTATAATCCTTGCCCTATCGGGCAAACTTGGATATCTCTGCGAGGTCCGCAACGGTAAGCTCTACACCAATCGCGACCTGCGCGGCAGCGACGATAAGACACCTGGCAAAAGCACTCAACCCCAGAGTTGAGAAACGCTGGTTGACGTTGTTTCAGCGTGATGGGCTCCAAGTAGGGTCTATAACCCTTGACAGAGAAGCTCGTTGTGCTGCAGGTAGGCTATACGTAAGGCTAGGTCAACTCCACACGCCGGCAGCTTCCCTAAATTCTAGAGCCTACAACCCTAATTCCCGGCTGACCCTATCTGGACCTTTGAAATCTTAGTCTTAGTCTGTTTACGAATTATATTTGGAACTTATCCCGAGGAAACGTGAAAAGGTAGGTTGTTTGGACGTCCACTAAACGCTTAGACCCGAAATCCTAGTCCTAAAGCCTGACACAGAGCCCTGGACTCCACAAAGGCTTCTAAGATTTATGGCAAGGCGCATCTGCTTTTTGTGTTTACATATATATCAGAGTTTCGGGCTGTAGACTTCATCCCTAAATCCTGAAGCTTGTCAACCCCGAAAGTCCCAAGCACCCTAAGCCTTCAGAACCTGTGGGCCCTCCAAAACCCAAACTTCGATACACACTCCAGACCCTAAACCTCCGTCCGAAACATTAGCCTGTGATTGTTGTTCCGTCTAGGTTGAGGTTCGGGGCTTAGCTAAGAGGTTCTGGGCTTGCCTTGAATTCAATTGCCTGGGCGTACTTTTTGCAGGGTTCTTTAGCCTTTGAATTCTATGTATCAGGCTGTGTGCTAAGGACCTGCGAAAAATGGGTTATGGCTTATGGGCCAGAAATTCTAAACCCTGAACTCAAAACCCAAACCCTCAACCCTGAACCCAAACCCCAAAACCCTAAACTTAAACCCTCGGCCCTAAACCACAAAACCCTGAACCCTTCAAAACTTGAACACTAAAGGGTTTAGGGGCTTCGGCGGAGTGCGAAACACCGAGGATCTATGGTGCCGATTGGACCGCCACCGAGGCGCTAGAACCGAACAATTCTCAGGGTTTAGTAGAGTTTGTGGATTGGCGGTTTAGGAATTAGGGTTTGAGCTTTAAGGTTTTTTTTTTTGTGTAGGCTTGCATTGGGGCATATTATAGTGGTTCAGAAGTTTAGGCTTTTGCATAGGGTTAGGCTTTGGGGTTAGGCGGGTTGCGGTTGCAAAGTTTAGTTGAGTGTCTAGAAGTTAGGTTTTCTGGCACTAACCTTCAAATTGGTGCTGAACGTGGAAAAAATCGTGGGCAAGTAAGAAGCGGTGAGGGAATAGGTCTGACTACTTCGACATTCTCACAGGCATGCATTTTCTCGGTTTCTTGTTGAGGCACCAAACAAGTTCGTTTGATCTCTACAGTTATACTTCAAACGGAGATCCTAGGAAGATTTGGGGTGCCTGGGTTACTGAAGGGCCAGAGGGCCTTATAGACACGCGACTTCCGGTGACACCACCCCTTGCTACAAGAAAGGCACAGAATTGCGGACGTCTGCGCCACAAAATGTACACCCTGACCCTCCAACGCCTCTGTACTATAAAGACCTTAATAATTACCTATGCTGTTTTGGGGACCCCTTAATCTTTTTTTATAGGAAAATTGGCCCCTAAAACCCTATTCTAGTTACGAAGGCCCCTATGCTACACCAATCAGCCTGGAACCCTTCTCCCCGAGACGGTACACCTATGGTAGAAGCCAGAAAGTTGGAACATTAGTATCCTCATGACCTTAAGGTTAAGGACAAGGGATCCTAGCACTAATCCTCCTAAACTCATGTTCCAACTTTCTGGCCTCTACTGTAACCCTAAGCCCTAAACCCTAAACCCTAGAATTTCAAAGCAGCCAGAAGTCCGCCAAACGAAGCCCAGGGCTTCAGCCCCAACGGCTTAAGGTAAAAGCCAGAAAGTTGGGATATGATTATCCTAACCCTTCTATGGTAAATTACAGGCTATCCTACCATGACACCATATTCCAACTTTCTGGAGTTCCCTTTAAGCCCTTGTCCAAGTATGCACTTTCGTGCCCACTCTCGAGTGAAAACTGCCGTTACCAAGGATTATATACTATTCGGGAGGGGGGCGGGGGCTGAGGGGTGTCCTGGTATACCCCACAAGGGCCTAAAGCCTTCAGCAATCCGAAGCTCACTACCCAAAAACGCCCTAGCCCACAAGAATCATATAGCCGTGTAAATTCCACAGAGCCTCAGTAGCAGAATTCCTAAAGCTGTGTGTTCCGAAAAGCTATCAGAACGATAGAACCCGTAAAGTAGCAGCTGCTGGAAAGCCTACATCCTATAAACTTGCATCCTAAACAGTAACCCTGGGGATCAAAATAGCCCAAAGGCCTTGTATAGTATGGTCTTCGGGCCCAAAAGCCTTAATATATGAGTCCTTACATCCCTAGGGTAATATAAATCCTAGCTCCAGGCCATCGTGCGCAATGCCCGGCTCGAGGAGCAAGCCTTTCCTCCTTCTCTCGCGTTAGGGTGTAGGGGTTTAGAGTTTAGGGCTTTGAGGTTTACACTTTAGGGTTTACGGTTCAGGGGTTGAGGGTTTAGGTTTTTGGGGCTTTAAAGACTTCAGGAAAATAGCTTGCCCTTGTCGGTCGGGGGGGGCTGCAGGATGAGGCCTGAGTTCAGGACCCTGGAATTTTTGCTATGTTCCAGAAGGTATATTTATCTTATGTTGATTTTAAGGGCGCGTTGCTGCAGGTGGCTCTCTGAAAGGATGCTTCTGCTCTGGGCTCAGATTGATCCTAGACTGAAATTGAAAATCGTTCCGAAGATGGAAATTCGGAGACGTGGTGCAGCGACTCTGGAGCAATAACTAGCACTAGCATGAATCATGCTGTAACCTATTGCGAGCCTACAGCCACCTTTTTCTACCTGAGTAGACTCGACTCCTCCTGCCTGTCTTGATGGGGTGACACAAGCTTGCAAATCCTACTCCCGAACCTGTAATCTGGAGTCCTAAACTTAGATCCCAAACCCTAGCCAGCCCTAGTATGAGCCCTAAGCTCCTTAAAGCCCTTAACCCGAGCAATCTCTAAGCAACCGACACCATGAGATCCTCGTCCGCTCCCTAATCCTCCCTGCCTATGCCCAAACCCTACCTTCGACTACCATACCGTACCTTTGTAGGTTTTTAGAGTAAACCCTCGCAGGCCTCAGTGTAGAACTTTTAGGGGGAAAAGTAGGTTTTGGTCATTCAGGGTAATCAAATCCTTCCCCCCTGAACCCTAAGCCCTTGACACACCTGGTCCCACCTAGCTCCCCAACTACCTTCTAAGACTCTAATCCCAGAATTAAGGACAATAAGAGCTCTATTAAAGGGCCATCTGGGGGTCCTGGCACACCACTCTCTTCGTTTCTCAGGAGCGCTTGACCCTCAACCCTAAACCGTAAGCCCCTGAACCCTCAACCCTAAACCCCAAAACCCTAAACCCTGAACCCTAAAACCCTAAACCCAGAACCCTCAACCCTAAACCGTTTCTCAGGAGCCCTTTACCCTCGATGTCCAGGGGTTCTCATTGCACAAAGAGTCGACGGCTATGTCCTACAACGAGTTCTTCCTAGAGGACGCACGGCTTTGTGCTTTGTGCCTAGGGCTCTCCAATTCTGTGAGGTTCAACATCAGGGCCAGATAAGTGTCATAGTCACTGTTGGGGATAGTCTACTGCGACGATCAAAGGGTTTAAGTAAACTAGGACCCAGAGTAGGCCCTTATTCCCTTTTTTAGGGTTCAGGTTCCCTTATAATCCCCTTTAAACCAAAAAGGGCATCCTTTTTATGCCTGGGTTACTCTTGGGTCTAGTAAAGGTAATTCAGCATGCCAGGGTCCAGGTTCAGGCCTTAATTAATCACTTTTCCTTGTTAGCAGTGCGTGAAGCTCTGATTGATTCCGATTCTGCGTTTCTGCAACTTTGACGATCGTCGCCAAACCTAAACCGGATAACCCGCCCCCCACCCCAACATGTAAACGGATGTCTATTCTGGTTCTAAGGGCGGCAAAGTTAATCTGGCGGCCCAGGGCTTTGAGGTCTAGGGTTGTTCGGCGATAAATCACAAACCGTTTTTGGGATGTAGGTTGTGGGCTACTTATTTTGGGATGGCATTTTTGTATGTATGTATGCATGTATGTATGCACGTATGTGTGCAGGTATGTGTGTATGTGTGCGTGTGTAAATAATTGCGTTGAGGCGTACTGAACCCTGAACCCTTGGCCCTAAACCCAACGCGAGCTTAGAGCTTCATTTGGTCAGTGACTTCCAGAAAAGCCTATCCAGGATCGCAAGGATCTATAAGAGAGGGACCTAAATATTTACCAATACTATTGTTCGATGATCCTAGTTCGTTATTATAGTTATAGTAGAATCGTCCCCAGCACCCTATTCTAATTAGGAATGCCCCTATGTTGGGTCCAAGGTTTTGGGGTCTGTGGGATTCAAACGTCGCCTGTGTCATTAGGGTATTTGAATTTGGGGCTTTGTGAGATGGGCTCAGGGTTTAGGGTTCAGGGTTCACCCGTGAAGGTGTTAGGGCGTACAGTCAACTTCAAAAAACACCGTACTAAATTCGACATGCCCATTGCGAGCCCGGAAGGATGTCATTCTCAAGAAGTACCACGCCGAAGTTGCAGAGGTTATGAAGCGCCTAACAGGCCCGTGGCGTTAGGAGCTTTCCCGGTCGCTCGGGTGATTGATTGAAGCTTGTGTTGAGACTTCCGGCCATAAGGCCCATGAGGTAATATGTATGTATGCATGCATGTACGTATGTTTGTATGTGAGTGTGTATATATATATATATATAGAGAGAGAGAGAGAGAGAGAGAGAGAGAGAGAGTTGAATGTATGTGCGTACAAAAATCAAACAATTACATAGACAAATAAATGTGCATATATATATATATATAAACTTATATATATATGTGTATATATATATATATATATACATATGTATATATCAGTGTATGGAGGCCAGCTGTGAACTATGAAACGTCTTCGGTTTGCACTTTAGACGATCCTGGCCACAAATAATGAACCGGCCAGGCTTGCATGCCGCGAACCGAAGCCTCACTGCCCAACTCGTTAGGCTTGGGTTTTAGGCTTCATCGGTTCGCTTCCGGGTCCAGAGCAAGTCATGCCCTGCAACAGGGTTCGACCTTACCCTAAGGGTCCAAGTACCCAAATAGTAGGGTTTCAAGGTCCAGAAACCATTCAGAGTATGGATTTTGGGACCTGAAACCCTACTATTTGGGTACTTGGACCCTCTGGGTTAGCTTACCGACACCTGCTTTGTTGCAGGGGCCCCCACAGGCTTCAGGCTTCAGAGTCCGGGTGTTTAGATCGGTATGGGAGTTTCCGAAAGTAGGGGTACCGTATTTTGGGGTCCCTATAATAAGGATCCTATTATTTAGGGTACTATGTTAGGGTCTCCTATTTTCGGAAACCCCCGTATGTAAGTTCAGCTACAGCGACTACGAAGATTCCTTGTATGATGATGCTTGTCATTACTCTTGCTTACAGGACCCAAGCCTTTCCACGAATATCTCTCTGTGTTCCAGTTTTCACCGAAATTTGCGCCGAACCGGTTCAGGAATTTCCGGGTGGAGCTTAAGGGTGTTCCTGGGCCCTAAATAACCTACCTGTTTATGGACTCGTACTCGGAAATCAGAAGAAGGAACCCTAACAAAGTTGGTTTTGTGGGGTCCAAGTTGGGTTGGGGGTTGGGCCTGGCCTTTTTGCCTTTCGGGGCGTGTAGAAGAGCCGCTTCCGATGTTAGGCTGTTCGGCTAGCAAACGCAGCACACAGTTTGGAGCTTGTCTGCTCTAGGACTCTATAGCCCCAGACTCGAAAAAAATTGAGGATGCCTCAAACTCCAAAATCAAAGCCCTAAGCCAGCCGTATAAACCTGACATGCATCCTAAAGCCTCGCCCCAAAACAATCAGCTCTTTGCCCTAAATCCTGTTTTACATTTTATATTAGTATTAGTATTATATTAGTTTTTTTAAAATTTAGGATTTGGGGTTTAGGGGTAGACCCTGAACTCAATCCTACAGTAAACCCTACCAGAACCCCAAGCCGACTCGGGCTCCAAGAAGGCATAAATAGGCTAAGTGCTCTAAGCCTTTAAACCACCCTAAACCATAAACACTCATACGCCCTAAACCCGAACCGTGGTAGAACCAGGCGCCACTTACGTCGTTCCCTTCGACCACAACTTGCGGTCGGTGGGCCTCCAGGGCTCCCAGAAGGAGATCAAGGCCATTGCGGGTTAGGGTCTAGGGTTTAGGGGCTTAGGGTTTGGGGTTGGGGATTTAGGGTTTGGGGTTTAGGGTTTAGGGGTTTAGGGTTTAGGGGTTTAGAGTTTAGGGTTTAGTGTTTAGGGGTTTAGAGTTTAGGGTTGGGTTTAGGGGTTTAGGGTTGGGGATTTCGGGTTTTGGGTTTAGGGTTTGGGGTTGGTGATACGGAGTTTAGAGGTTTAGGGGTTTCGGGTTTAGGGTTTAGGGTTAATTGGGGTTCAGGGTTTAGGGTTGGTGATATAGGGTTTAGGGGTTTAGGGTTAGGGTTTAGGGTATAGGATTGCGGTTGGGGTTCTATAAACGCTTAAAGGGTTTCGGGGTTAGGGTTCTACGTGCTCTGGGAGTTAAGGGCTTAGGGCTCTATAAGTTATAGAGACCTTGTACCCTAAATTAACAAGGACTCTATTCGATTCGGCTACAAAGGCTCTGTAAGGGTTTACCAGGGCCCTATTTGCGTCGCAAAGGGGTTCTAGAAAGGATTCTACAGAGGGCTTTGCCATAATATCGGGGTTCTGTCCATCACGGGTCCACAAGTAATCTTATGGTGTTCTCACAAGGGTTCTATCGGGCTCTAGAAGGCTGCTTATGGGAATTTTGTGGTGTTCTACCAGGGTTTTCTAGCTTCGGTTCTGTAGAGGGTTCTGTGGAGTTTCTTGAGCGGCGGAACTTCGGATACAGGGTCTTGAAAATCCCTTCATTGAGGAACACCCCTTAAATCATAGTAGGATCCCTAATATGATTTAAGGTATAATCCTTAATTAAAGGATTTTGGAAGGTCTGGGGGTACGCGTCTTACATCGCTGCGTAAGGTTAACCGACACAGCCAAAGATCACAAGGTGCTCTCACCCGCACAGCAGTTGTGTCCATACCTGTAGCCCGCCGATTCCGGCTCGTTCCCATTCCCTAAGGGTCCATGTACTCATATAGTACATACATTGACCTTAAAGTACTCCCTATGTAGGTACATGGGGCGCAAAGTATATACTATTTGAGTACATGGACCCTTAGGGATTGTGTCTTTACAGAATAGGATGCCCAGTAGTACCCTTATTCCCTTTTTGTAGTCCTAGGTTCCTTATAAAGTTACCCAATACCAAAAAAGAGAGGCCTTTTTATTCTTAGGTTACTGGGTATCCTAGAAGGTTGTGTCAAGGAATCGACAGTCTAAGACAGATCTTCTAGAAAAGAGTCTGGGGCTCGCACAGGCTACTCTTCGTCTGGGGTCGGTATGGAGCCACATAGGGCCCACGTCCTGATTGTGGCTTCTTGTTCCGGCAGGGTGGAGCCAAATGCCAGCAACCAGCAGGCCTCCAGCTCAAATTAGGGTTTGGGGTTTGGGATAGCATTGACATTCCAGACTTTGTTCGGTGTATGCACAGCACCGAAAGGGGTGCAAACGCGCAAAGCCTTTGGTACAGGTGAGCCTGTCTAGGCATCAATGATAACCTCAGACAAGCATATCTGGCTTCGACCTGCTTTGAGGGCTTGGCACAGCTCTGAGCAACTATACGGGATTTCAGCATTTTGGGTGGCAGGGTTTAGGCTTTCAGAGCGCAGGCGGGTGGCGCGGAATCGTTTTGGAGCTTCAAGAAACCCTATTGACTGGACAGCTGAAGCAGTAGCCAGCTGTGTGTAAGCCATTTATTGAAGTGCCATTAACGAGCGCACGAGCTTGTGTCCCGAGGACTCCACGGCCAAAAGTCTTATGTCCTAAAGGCTTAGAAAGCCATGAACATCCATGAACGTAAAGTCATCCAAAAGTGGGATGAGGCTGGTGTAATCCATGGTAATCCCTCATATCAACGAGCCTTAATCGTGCTACCTACCTTCATTCCACCTTTAGAGCCCGCTATGCCTTGAAACACGAGAGCCCCTCAGCCCGACAGTTCCGGATCCAAACGACACAATAATTAGACACTCAGGTTTAGGATAGTACAAAGTCCTGTCGGTGTTGGGCTGCGAGTCCTACCTAAACCTGCAAAAGGAGGTAAAACATCTATAAAGGGCTGTTACTTTTTGACGGGTTCATATGTTGAAATCAGAAAGAATGGTGAAAAGGCAGGTTTCTTAAGGTCCATATAAAGCCTAAAGCGCTGCTCTTGCAAAGGTATGGTTCACAACGACTACACTCTGACAGGCCTTTTGTCAGCGCTTTGTGACTCGGGGCGGGGCGGGGGCTAAGGTCAGGTTAGGGATCAAGATTTAGGCTTTAGGGGTAAGTTGAGGTGAGGTTGGGTTTCGGGCCAGTCTAGGGTTTAGGGGTAAGGCAGGGAGGGTTCGTCCTTGTTCGGGGTTTAGTTCAAAAAGGTTTGGTGTTTAGGGATTTGGCCTCTACAATATATCCCGGGGGTGTACAGTGATATTGTGTCTCGGGGCAAGTTGTCGGTGATAGTTGAGGGCTTTAGTGTGAGGCTTCAGACCCTACGCCATCTATGGGTTTAGTTGCTGCGATCCTGCTGAAGCGACTGGTGCAGCATCTAGGGGTGCAATTGCAATCAGGCATTGTGTCGATATAATCTTTCAGCGTGGTCTGAGCACAATGTTCCCAACAGCAGAACCACCTTGCACATCAACCAAAGGCATCGGAAGTTTTAAAGCGTCACATTTGGTTTGGGCGATCTCGGGGTGGGCTGTCTTCGGGTAGGGGTGGGGTGAAAGCCTAAAGCCGTATTCCCGAATTCCCTAGACCGGACAATGCACCGCAGCCCTACATCCTAACACCCCAAAGTCCCAACCAATGCTCAGGCGGCCCATTGCGCTTCGACCAGCTGGGGCAGCCCCCGAAAAGGAATCTCTGCTGAATGTGTGTTTAAGTCAGGGCTTCGGGGTGTATGTATCAGCCCTTTAAATAAACCCAGAATCGTAAACCCCTCTGTCCAACGTTTTCCACAGTGCATTCATCTAGACTTCGATCTCGGGGAGAAAGGCGTGTAGTGTGTAGGAAACCGAGGCTTATTGCAGCATTATGGTTTTACCGCTTTAACTGTTCAGGAATAGGGTTTTGTGAAGTCAGATGGACAGCCATCGCCGTTTTCCTGTGTTTATGCTGACAAAATGTGTTAAGCTCGGGTCAGGTGTTGGCGTCCTTGATTTAGGGGTCCCATTTTTTTGATATTCAGGCTAAACCGCTGCAAACCCCGCTACTCCTGTAGAACCCTTATCAACCTCTCACAACCCCCCCTTGCAAAACTCTTAAGAACCCCTAAACACAAACCCCTAAACCCTAAGCCCTGTAAAGCCTCAATCCAAACCTTAAACCCCCCAAAACCTAAAACCCGTAAGCTATGTAGGTAAGTCTGAAACCCCCAAACCCTTAGCCCGATACCAAACAAGCAAACAAAGCCCTTCGATCTCCCTTTTACTATAGTAGAATAGGCCCCAAAACCCTATTCTAATTTTTAAGGCCCCCCTTATAGTAGCCCTTGTAGACCCCCTTTAAAGGAACCCTATTTTAGCCCCTATTTTAAACCCTGAAATAGACCCCTTTAGAAGGAGCTAAGTATTCAAGCCCCCTTATAGTAGCCCTTATAGACCCCCTTTAAAGGAACCCTATTTTAGCCCCTATTTTAAACCCTGAAATAGACCCCTTTAAAAGGAGCTAAGTATTCAAGCCCCTGGATTACCCTTATTATGTCCTAGGAATGACTCCATCCCCTTAACCCCCTTAAACTTAAACCCCTTAACTTTAAACCCCTACACCCTAAACTTTAAACATTAAACCCTGTCAAGCGATCAAATATCTTCGATCTCCTAGGAATGACTCGATCCAGAAGGCGGACCCTGCCTTGAGCGAGGCGGCTAATCGGGATTTTTTGTCGGTGGTTTTCTGGGGCTTTTCTAGTGGCAGCTAGTTGATGCTTTTATTGGCTTTGTTTGGAGTTGGTACGGGTTAATTATTAATGTTGTTTTACTAGGTCTTTTTTTATGAGGGTTCTATGAAAGGGCAGGCGTTGTGGTAGAGGCTTTACAGGGCGTGGGTTCCTTGTTTACAGGTTTAGGGTTTGTGATAGGTTAAGTTTTCTTTAACAGGCTGTTATCGAAGACTTTTTTCAAGTTAGGCCCTGGTAGCCCTCAAACAACCCTGAACCTTTCAGTCTGTACGCCTATAGGGTTTAGTCCAGATGAGAGTTTAGGTGTTGAGGGTTTGGGGACGCTTCTACCGATCGACCCCACCGCCAGAAAACTCTCGCATGCGGACTTCCTGCTGCTCCATTTTGCTAAACCCTAAACCCTAAACCCTATAAACCCCCCTCTGGTCCTGAACTTGTATTTCCGCACTTCTTCTTGGATCCTGCACCCTACCTATAGTCTCCATTGTAGTTCCTTTTTTGGGTTTTCCATTTTTTATGGTTAGGACCTTATAATCGAGATTTTGGTAAGCCAAAAAAAGGAACTACAATGGCGACTATAGGTAAACCCTCAACCCGAACCCCAAAACTGAGGATTTGCAAGGTGAGCAGCGAGGGTTCGGGAATGTTTGAGGATGTCCAATGCTGTGGGACCCACCGAAGCCCCAATCCCGAACCTTACACCTTACAAGTTAGAAGGGGCCCCCACCCTGTAGTAGTGACTATAAGGGGTTATATTAATATTATATTAGGGCCCTATTATATTCCTATTATACCACTATTACAGGGTGGGGGCAGCTTCTAACTTACACCTTACAAGCCCCAAAACACCGAACCCAGAATCCACGCTCAAGAGCCCAATCACTGAGGCCTGGGCCTCATAACACCACTAAGGCCTAAGACCTTTATAAAGTGTATACTGCTTCGTTAAGCCATAAACCACAAACACCAACCTATGCATATGTGCTAAGCCCTTCGTTGTTTTCGGGTTCTGCTGTGCTTGTACAGCACCTTTTTCTGTGTTTGAACCTTGAGCTTCCGCAGTGTTTGTGGTCCGCTTTGAGGTTCACGATGTAGGGTTGAGGCGCGTCTGAGTTTGTCTGTGTTTGTGTCTGTGTGTGTGTGTGTGTCTGTGTGTGTCTGTGTGCATGTGTCTATGTGTGCATGCTTTGAGCCGATTCTATCAGGCCATCGTCAAAGTCGCCTGGACAGCAAAAGAGGGGAGCTAGGTCTTTCAGTGGGCTCTGTTTCTCGGTTTGGTTCCTTCTTAAACTGCCCCAAACCCCTAAACCCCTAAACCCTAAACCCTAAACCCTAAACCCTAAATCCTAAACCCATACCAAGGAGGGAGCCGGATTTTATTCCTGGGTTACTGTGGGGATCCCAGGGAGGTGCCAGGTTTGACGGTGCTCTGGGATTCTCCTCAAGTCCTGACTGGGCCCTGAGCAGTAACCTTCAGGGTTTAAGGTTCATTTACCATAATAAGGAGTCCTAGTAGAAGGGTAGAAGGCCACTATTTTAAAGGGTCATTCGATCCCCAAGGTGGGCTCTATCATGTATACCTGCAGCCGGAAAGCTCCGTTGGATCACATGCCTGATTTCTTGAATCCGCACATGCCCAAGAGAGCCGACCGAACAAAAAATACACAGACCCCTCACACCTACGACTTCAACATCTGAACCCCAAACCCGAAAACCCTATAGCAGCATTGTAGTTAGTAACCCTAATATATAGAACCCGTCGCAGTATCCCCCGTGGCAGACTTCTAGTTAACCTCCAAATAGTCAATCTTAAACGCAAACTGAGGCTGGCCGAGCAGGCCGACTCTTGGCAGCAATGTCGAGGCTTTGCACTCACCCTTTGGCTTGCCTGGCCTTGCGCAACCTTCTTCATGTAGACTCCCCATGTAAAGCCGAGGGTCATCAGCCTAGGTTGTTTTATAAAACCCCAAGCGGCAAGAACTCGCCTGATGAGGAGCATCGATGGGATCCTTTATGATGTGTTGTTGCGTCTACGGTTCGGGGTCAACAAATGCATAACAAAGAAACTTGCGCACACATAAATACATATACTTATAAAAAATGTATACACGTTTAGCCTCAGCATAGTGCAAAGCTTCAACCAATAACCCCATGACTCCTACGCCCTGGTCCTGTACCCTATAAACCTGGAACCTCAAAAATCAGTGTTTAGGGCTCAGTGGTTCGAGATTTGGTTAGCATTGAAGGCTTGGTGGGGCAATATCGGTTCCATGTAGAAACCATTCAATTCCCGTCTGAGAAGCCCGAGACCAAAACCTACAAGGGGCCTCAATAATTACCTATACTATTTTCGATGTTCCTTATCGTAATTGTAGTATTATGGATCCCCAAACCCTATTCCAATTACAAGGAGAAAGGCCCCTATATTACAGAAACGCGCAAAAGTCTGTGGCTGATTGTTGTTGTGTGGAGGGCCTTTGGGTTCAGAGTTTGCTTGGGGATCCCCACGCCCTAAATCCCAAACCATCTAAGGGTGTAGGGTTTAGGGTTTAGGGTTTAGGGTGTAGGGTTTAGGGTTCTAGGGTTTAGGTGTAAGCTTTTTGTCGCAGTGTCCTTTTGAGGACGGACACCCCCCGAAGCGCAAAGTCGCATGATCGTTGGGCACCGAAAAATTCGGGGCTCTGGGCGAATCGAACCCTAAGGGTCCATGTACCCGAATAATATGTACTTTGGGCCCAATGTACCTACATAGGGAGTACTTCAAGGCCAATGTGTATACTATATGAGTACATGGACCCTTGGGGAAAGTGCAACGCTGCAACACTAAACCCCAAGCGCTAATCACCGAAGATTGGGTAGGGGTGACAATGCTGAAATGCGAAAACCCGAATGCTTTGTTTTTGTTTCTCGAGGTTGGGCCATCATCAACCTGTGGCGGAACATCCGCGACAAGCGCCTTGGCTGTGATATTGCCGATGGCGATAATGAAGCTAGTTGTTGGATCATGTTGTTATGTTGATGTTGTTGGCGCCGACGACGCTTGCGAGTACCATGCCGACGGCAGTGACATTCTGCAGAAGAAGAAGACGAGGTTCATGATGTTGGTGGTGAAGCAGTGGTGGGGATGGTCTTGGTCTTGATCGTGATTGTCCTATTGCATCGGCCATCAAGCTGGCGCCGAGGCTGACTGCGCACAGATCATGAATGGTATAGTCCTGCTTTTGTAACACCCGAGATGACGATGCCGGCGCGACAGGCTAGAAACGAAGGCATCATGCAAGTGATTGCGATCCTACCGATGACCACGACGTTTGAGAGTCTGCCTGGTACTGTAGTGGTGGTGGTGCCACTGCTGCTGCTGCTGCTGCCGTCGAGAACATTCATAGTGATGACGACTGCGGTAGTAGTTAAGTTGATGAGGTTAATGCGGGCGAGAATGATGGCGGCTGATATTCATGCAGATGGTCACCATTATAAACTATGACTGCGATAGTGACGGTGGCAATGAAGATGACCGTGATGGCCGCAGGCATTGTCATGATCATGATTGCAAGGGCTCGTCCCAGTGTCAATGAGCTCATTCCAGGCCGGTCCAGGTGTACCCCCTGGCCTGTTGCGATGCGCGCTCGACCTCGCCGGAGGACTTGTGCGTCTTCGAGTGCCCCGACAGCAATAGTTGTCCGGAGTCATTTCTCGAAGCTGTATACAAGTTCTGACCTCAAGGGCCCTACAGCCCTCAGGTCAATTATGTCTCAAAGTCGCAACCCTGATCCCTAATCCTTGCCTTAAGCGCAAAAGCACCAAGTTACCCCCTAACCGAGCCCCAAGAAACTCGACACATAGACTTCGCTTGAACCAGCTGGTCTTTGCTGATACGAAGAAGGAGTAAGTCACCATTGACTTGTGGTGGCTCACTGACTGTGGAATTCACGCTGTATACCTACTCGTAGTGTGGGGAGTGTTGCTGCTCCGTCTGGTTGAGGCCTAATCGGAGCATACGACGTGGGGTATGTAGAGCTGAGTATCTGGAGTAAGAGTTCGTAGGGTTGTTTTGTTGTTGGGAAGGGTGTTCATTTGACATGGACACCAGTTGCCGCAGATTCCAGCTGGTCTAGGAATGAAGCATTCCGTGTGGCAGCTCGCCTTTTCTGGCCGCACCCGCCACGCACATACACGTAGCTGCATAAGGGTTTATATATGTGTATATACACAGACATACATACATACACACCCACGGGCCGGCGCTTTTGCAACCCCACTGTTTTCACTATGCATCCATAAACACATCGTCGCTTCTTCCGAGGATTCACTATGCAGACCGGGTGGGCGAGAATTACTTCGCCGTGTCCTCGCCAGAGCACAGGTGGTCGCGGCCCCGGCTGCCTCAAGAAGCCCAGTTGTCAGTTGCCTGCGTAGTGGGATACTGGGCTGTGGACACAGTACGGTTTATGTTTGGGTTTTGGGGTAACGGTAACCCCCTATATTGGCATTTGTCTTGCTTTCCAGGGTCCGAACCACTCTGCGCTATACTCCCGATGCAACACCCTGAGCCCGGCAATGCATGCGCACCTTACCCAGAAGCCACCCTTGCCCCAAACCCCGGAGTTGGTCTCCCAGCGACCGCATGCCAGTTCTGACAGTCTAAACCCTGCGTTGTGGAATACAATGTTGCTGGCTGGGTTTTCCTTCGGTGTCTCTTCCTTCGGGCACTGAGTGTAGCATGTCTCCTGAGACGGACGTAGAGCTGCGCCAGCGGAGAAACTGTCAGTACACTTAAACCTACCTATAGTCTCCATTGTAGTTCCTTTTTTTGGTTAACCAAAATCTCTATTATAGGGTCCTAACCATAAAATTGGATAACCAAAAAAAGGAACTACAATGGAGACTATAGGTAACCCCCGGAACCCCAAACCCTAAACCCAATGCAGAACCTCGGCCACGCTGATGTCCGGACCGCCGGCCAATGAGTCGCATCCCCAAAAGATCCCCTAAGTACTGACTGTAGACACCTGATTAAGAAACCTTGGCTCTCCATTACCCTAAGGGTCCATGTACTCATATAATATATACATTGGCCTTAAACGCACTCCCTATGTAGGTACATTGGGCCCAAAGTAAATACTATTTGGGTACATGGACCCTTAGGGTTAGGTTCTTTATATGAATCCTAAAAATTTAAGCATGATAGGACCATGGCTTCTGAATCAGGCTCCTACATTTCACTTCATATCCTTGTGGCTTCTATAGATGAATACCATTGTTATGATTGTGTTTATGGTAACGAATCTATGCTGGTGTTTATGTTTATGACTTTGATGGTTATAAGACTAATGCGTGATGCGTCGTAGGGTATGTAGGAACCCTTTGGATGAGGTACTACTACCCCGACATGAAAAAAGACGAGGCGGGGAGATTTATGAGTCGTGGCCGTGGCGAAGGAGCGTATGCTTTCAGACTTAGCGTTTGCAGTTTAGGGTTGTATTCGCAACTGACGCAAAGCAGGCACAGAAACGAACTATGGGGTCTGAGTAGTTCGACTGGGGTTGGGAAAGATGTGTTGCGATACTTCAGCCCGAGCCAAACCAAAAACAAACCGCAATCATGGTCCTAAACCCTAAACCCCTAAACTCCTAAACCCTAAACCCTAATCATGGCCTTGGACGAGTCCCGCCTTCACGGACACTGCATTCTTCTTGGTTGTGTGGTTCTCTGGAGCAAGTCTTGTCCCCTATACCCTACACCCCAACCCCTAAATCCCTAACCTAGGTGCCCTAAATCGCAAATCCGTGATCTCAACGCTGCGCTTGCCCATCCGGCAGGTGCTGCTTCTGAAGCAGTGGGACTCAGATGGAAGTTTATCCGGAGGCCCACTTCTGTTGGCCTCGTCGGGTTTAGGCTTTGAGGGTTCCTGCTTTGAATGTAGGTTCAGGGTTTTAGCGGTTAGGGGGCCGGTTACTGCTTAATTAGGCCTAGGGGCGCGCTTGTGGGGTTCAGGGTTGTCAAGGTTCACAAGGCTCCGCGTTGAGGGTTGAAAGTCAGCGCCTAGCATTCATGATTTGTTTTCTTGAAGAAGGCTTTGCACTCTGGAGGGTCCAAACAGATCCAGGAGGTTCATACAGTTTGTTGGCTTTGGCCCAAACTCCGATTGGGACCTGTTGAGTAGCCATGTTCTAGTGGGCCGTGGAAAAACATGGGAAGCAGCTGTTCACACCACAGCTTGTTAGCAGCAGCACCCGAAAAGGTAATCCGTTTCTTCATCACCCTGTTGTTTGCAGGTTTGCTGGGGTAAGTTATCACGGACGTGGGGGTAGAGTGCAGACAACAACCGCTTATACGCGCGCCTCCAACTGACATTGCACCCCTGCCGGAAGACAAGTCGGATGCAGTCGTTCTTGCTGGTGGCATGGGGGAACTATCCTAAACCTTAAACTCCAAACTCTGGCGTTCAGGATGACACTTTACAGCCTTAACGTGTAGTCCTAAGTTGAGGTTGTTTCAAAAGGAGGGACCACCAGGGATGCTCGTGAAGGCTTCCTTCGTTTGGGTCCCTGCTCTGCTTGGCTTTGGGCCGTGGGGTTCGGGCTGGAGCTTGTAGCAAGCTTTGAGGTTTGGCAAAAGCTTCGGGGTTTCCGTGTGGGTCTAGGGTTTGGGTTTAGGTTTTAGGGTGTGGGTTTTGGAGTTTAGGGCTTGGTTTCAGGGTTTAAGATTTAGGGTTTTGGTTTAGGGTTTGGGCTACGGGGTTTCAGGCTCTGTCAAGGGCTCGCCTGAGGGTTTTTGGGTTTGCATAGGGTGTAATGTGTAATTCCTAGACCGCCCACACTACTCTGTATAACCAACGGGAAACTAGATACTTACTGTTAAGAACGACGAAGGCTCCGTTCCCCTAAGGTTCCATGTACTCATATAGTATACGCATTGGCCTTAAAGTACTCCCTATGTAGGTACATTGGGCCCAAAGTATATACTATTTGGGTACATGGACCCTTAGGGTTCAAGGGCATTTGGGAAGAGGGCTGGTTTGATGGAAGATGCATTGCGAGTCCAGGAACGAGACTGCGGATGATTTCCGGATGTTCGGTATGGGAGTTTCCGAAAATGGGGTATCCACATATCGATTTAGGGTACTATATATATATATATATATAGTACCCTAAATCGTAGGACCCTTATTATAAGAGCCCCCCAATAAGGTACCCCTAATTTTCGGAAACTCCCATATGGGACTTGTTCAATATACTTGTCCCCAGAGGATCATCACGGCGGGTCTTTAATATAAATATACATATACATATATATATATATATATATATATGGTCACACCCCCCCCCCATGATCCACCCCAGCCTTCTCCTCAACTACTCCTGTACTGTCCTCTGGTACAAGATGCGTATTGCTGAAGTCAAAATCTATCGGTATTTACGCTGTTTTATGCAGTTCATGTACATGTACAGATGCGGCTTTTGCTTTTTATATCATATACAAACAAGCCAAAACCGAAACCCGATTCTGGTTCTGGATTCTGGTTTTGCTGCCGCGCTCTTGTCCACTGCTTCGTATCAGCTCTTGCTGTTCAAGTCAAAACTTGGCCTTCCTATTTTGGAGTTTGTCGAACTACTTACGATGTACAGTTTGAATAGACACGGCTGCTCTTCTCTTCATAACATAAGCTGTAAGGACAACTCCTTCAGTGAAAGCAAACATGCCAGTGGTCTGTTTGGCTTACTAGCAACATTGTAGCCACACTAAACAGAGGTGTTGCCCATCAGACATGGAAAGGAATCCCCGTGTATCTTCATGCTTCAAGGGAACCTCGAACAACATCATATCTTCAAAATTTCAACCGACAAGGGAAGCATGGTTGTTCTTGTTCAGGTGGTGTTATCAATAGAAATTTTGTTTCAGCACAAAGAAACACAATAAGCCACCTTAGTCCCTTATCAGTCGCTGGAACTCAGTGGCTGGAACTCAACGAGCTCTTGCAGTATACCAATACCACAAACTCGGAGTGATTAGGGAAAGACATGGTCTCCCTCCACCAAACTCCAAATACATTCGGTCACAAGCATAGTATGTCGAGCTTCTCACGCTTTATACTTCGTGGGAATTAAGACAAGCATGTATCTGGAAAGCATTCGTTATTGAACACATTTGTTTTTTCTTTTTAACAGATGCAAGACGATCCTGGCTCAGAACACATAATCGAGCTCCGTTGCACCGCGCTACTCGCAAGAGTTATATAGCTCCTGCCATCTTTGAATACAGCATGAAACACCTCCAGACCTCTCCTCATAGCCTCCAAGGAATGGTGGAAAAACATCTTTTCTCATTATGCTTTCAGGAAAACAGTCAAACACTGGACTTACTTCTTGAGCAAGGTTGACCTTGACTCGGTTATGATTTTGCTCCACGAGAGAAGAGTTAGTACCGCCAGTAATCGAAGCAATTGAAAGCTCATTTACCAGGTTCCCCAGTGTCGCCTGAATGGCACCTTATATGTAATGATATGAAATATCGGAGCTTATCAGCTTCTTCAGTTTGTGAGGTAATATAGAATACAAGGAATACTTCTTCTTTGTTCAAGCTACGGGCAAGAGTTTAAGAACTCGACAGCATCTAAACATGATGTACAGTTCAACGAACATGTGCATTCGCAAAAAAAACGTTCTAAAGCATCCACAAACACAAGCAGGTTTCAATATTCTAAAGTACAGCTGTTCTTCTATTTCTTACATTGAGCAAAGGTGATCTTAACAACAGCTATGACTTTGTTCGATGAAAGAAGCAAGAGCACACTTGAGAACGGAAGCAATTGAAGGCTCATGTATGAGCACATGGTACGGCTGTTCTTCTATGACTTTTGCATTTCAGGTTTCAGGAATCTTGGAGATTCGAGCCTGGCAGTGTTTTCGCATCCGAGGTTGCCAAAACACCGCCAGGCACCAATTTCCCCAAAGTTTGTGAGGCTGGAAGTGCCAAAACCTCGCCAGGCACCAACTTCCCTAAAATCCCCGAAATCCTGGCATCTATGGAGGCCGTCAGAGTTCAGCTGTATGAATTTTGGGGAAATTGGTGCCTGGCGGTGTTTTCGCATCCGAGGTTGCCAAAACGCCGCCAGGCACCAATTTCCCCAAAGTTTGTGAGGCTGGAAGTGCCAAAACCTCGCTATGCTCCAATTTCCCCAAAATCCCCCAAATCCCGGCATCTATGAGGCGTGCCGGGCCATAGTTGCTCAGAGTTTGGGATTTTTGGGGAAATTGGTGCCTGTCGATGTTTTCGCACTTCCGCCTTTGCAAACTTTGGGGAAATTGGTGCCTGGCAGTGTTTTCGCATCCGAGGTTGCCAAAACACCGCCAGGCACCAATTTCCCCAAAGTTTGTGACGCTGGAAGTGCCAAAACCTCGCTATGCTCCAATTTCCCCAAAATCCCCAAAATCCCTGCATCTATGAGGCGTGCCGGGCCATAGTTGCCCAGAGTTTGGGGATTTTGGGGAAATTGGTGCCTGTCGATGTTTTCGCACTTCCAGCTTTGCAAACTTTGGGGAAATTGGTGCCTGGCAGTGTTTTCGCATCCGAGGCTGCCCACCTCCCATGATCCACTGTTTGCAAGAAGCAGGTTCGGGTGGATCATGGGGGGGGCGTATAGATATATATAATATATATATATATATATATATATTTATTTATATTTATATTTATATTTATATATATATATATATATATATATGTCTATGTGTGGCTGTCAAAGTCAGGGTCGCTTTTTGGGTCCCTATTATAATACGGCACCTAATTAATATTTAGGGTATCCACAAAGGGGCCATAATTTTTGACATATGACCCTTAATAGTGTGTGTTCGGTGTATATCAAAGGGTAGTCGGAGGGGTCTAGGTCAGCCCTAACCAGGACCTCTAGTGTAGAGGCCTGAAATATTTCAATAGGGCTGCGGGCTCCTTCATATTACAATACGATATAATAAGGGTTATTTTGTGGGCTTCTACATTCAGCCCTAATGCCCCTAAACCGAAAGCCCAAGACCTACGATGTACTACAACCCCTCCTCGGAGGTACCCGCGCTCCATTTACACTGCACTCGGCCTTCGACGACCCGTCCAGCCCCACGGATGCTGAAGACAGAGAGTCGATGGAGGCTGGACAGTGCCTATAGTCTCCATTGTAGTTCCTTTTTTTGGTTATCCAGCTTTGTGGTTAGCACCTTATAATAGAGGTTTTGGTTGACCAAAAAAGGAACTACAATGGAGACTATAGGTGAGGCTTTAGTGGGGCTGGGGTTTTAGGATAATTCCCTCGAAGGTTCCTTCAAAACTGTCAGCTAACACCCAGGCTAGCTGTTAGGGCCATTCGACAGTGACGAGTTTAGAGTCGCTCGAGATTTTTCCTGAATTTTTCCTGTGAGGATTTAGGATTTGTGGGTTTCAGGATTCGGTTGTCATTGGATTTCTTTTGTTTCGGTGTTAAAGAGACAAGTCGGAAGGAAGTTAATTGGAGCGTTCTTGAATAGTAGTGCTCTCCACATAGCTTACCGATGGTAGCCCCAAGCCCTAAGCCCCGGTTCATATACACACATACAGACACATGGAAAGATGGATAGACACATAGGTAGATAGCTGTCTGTTGCATACATATACACACACTATATATATATATATACATATACGTATATGTACATATGTATGTGCATGTGCCTGTGCATGCACATGTGCTTTGCATGTGCAGTGCATGTGGATGTGGATGTGGATGTGAATGCGCATGCTTTGTGTATGTGTAGGTGGTGTGTTTGCTGGAAGCGCTTCGGTACAGGATAGTCCTAAGAGCCAACAGCCGGCAGCTCATCCCCAAGAAGCCTTGAAGAATGTGTGTCCCCTAATCCCTAAACCCTTTGATCTTCGTGAGGTGCGATGCATTTGCGTCTGGGAGAAGTGAGACATCTGCCCCTTCGCGTCAGCTCCGAAAATCTGCCTTCACGAAATGCAGGCAGCATTAACAAAGGTCCAAGAGTTAAACTCGAAGCAAACCCAAAACCCTAAACAAAGCTACAGCCTAACCCCTAGGTAAAACCGAGCACGGGCTAGGTGCTCGGGTGGTCTGGACTCGTTTTCGGAGAGACCATGGTTTGGAGGGCTGGGTTCTCGAGTGCACCCCCCCCCCCCTCCCCTTTCAGGCAACCGCGGTGTTCGCGTACCCTTCGCAAGACGGACTTTCGGAAACGCCGATGGTGTGACAGTCTCACCTAAACCCTAAACCCTAAACCCAAAACCCTAAACCCTAAACCCTAAACCCTAAACCCTCACCTCTCACGCGTTAGTAGCCGACTCTCGCTTGGTTCCACGACTATCAGGACCCAGTCAACCCAGCAATGGAACTTGGATCTGATATACCCAGACCTTCCACAACCCCTTAATTAAGGAATATAAATCATATTAGGATCCCTAATCTGATTTAAGGTATATTCCTTAAGGGATTTTGGAAGGTTTGGGTAACAGCTTGTCCAGACTACGGACACAATTCAGCTGGATTTAGTTTAGGGCCTAGGGTGCGGATGTAGGTTTAAGGTTTAGGATGTCAGGTTTAGGGGACACCGTTATGGGCCTTTAACTTATTCGTTTGGGTTTAAGGGTTCTGCTTGTCATCCCAATAAGGCAAAGCATGAGGATGATTTTGCACCTGATTCTAAACCAGTTATTTTGGAGGCACCCATGGGATGTCTAAGCCTCAAGGACCCTGAGTACCTATCTAGTAGACTGCGATGTTAGGAATCACCATTTTGAGTTTGAAAAGTAACCCCCCCCATGAAGGTACGTAGGACCCTTTGGGAAGAGATTCGCTCACAAAGGCCGAGTTGTAGCATCAAGTTCATGGAGGTTAAGTCTAAGGTTCAGGGCGTAGTGTGCAGGGCAACATGTCTGTAGATTCTATTGGAGGTTCGACTCAGTTAGACTTCATGGTTCAGAGTTCAGGCTACGGCTTACATTCCTACTGGCAGACTGGCGTTTTCTGCTTGCCATGCTGCGAGACCTCGGGTTATGGTCGGATGCTTGTTTCTGCAAGTGCACTTCTTGATGTTGCTAGTTTTTTTCAGCGGTTCTTGTGTAGCAAGTAGCCCCAAACCGCAGCCCGTCAAACCCAGCAGCCTTTTCGATTTTACAGAATCCAAGAGTTGACCCAAGCTTGACTCCGTCTATTCGGCACCAGAACTCCACCTGTTTGCGGTGTGAGGGCATCGGAGACTCTCAGAACAAAAGCCCGAAACCCTGATGCTATTGCGAATTGCTCCGACCCACCCCCCAAACCCCCTTAAGCCTAGACCTTAAACCCTAAACCCTAAAACCCCTCAAAGCTAAACCCTAAACCCCTGCAAAAAAGTAGGCTCTGGTAGTTCAAGGCCGACGTTTCAGGATCACTTTGGCAAGCGCAAAGAGATTAGGAGGCCATGTGGACTACGCGTAAGGGTCTATTTGGAGGATCATGGGACTTAGTAAGTATGGTTATGAGTACCGTAATTGGGCTTATAAGTAGTTCCAAGTATAGTTACCTTAATAGTAACCCTAGTTACTAAGTCCCATGATCCTCCAAGCAGGCAGACACTATGCACCCTTACCTTCATTGTTTCCCGAAGCCCCCGAACCCCAAAGAGATTGTACAGATCGACTGCAAAGCCACATATGTCATGGGTGCTCCGAATGTCGCCACTCTGTTCTGAGAGCTTCTAAGCTCGTCAATGCAACTCGCCGCCGGCTCCCGCTACCCCTTGACTGAGTTCTTGCAAGCTGGTGAACTTACTTTGGCTTTCCGTCACAATGAAGATACAATGTAAACTGGGTTTAGCATATCTGGTGTATCGTATGTTAAGAAACTTTAAATTTCATTGTTCACTGTATCTGTCTGCGATCTTGGACCGTACAGGAGCAGAAGTGCATCCTAAATTTCCTACACAGAGTAGGTTAGCTTCGTCGGGCCCCAGATGAGGTGCGGTTTCTCTTGTCTTCAGGGCTGTTAGGGACCTTGGCGAGTGTATGCAGTGCTCCCGAGGAAAGCTGGTGGTCGTATCTTGTTCGGTGCGGGGTTGTATGTAATAGGAACTCTACTCCCAATAAATGCAGGCACACACACACACACGCAGACCCCAGACCTTCCAAAATCCCTTAATTAAGGAATATACCTTAAATCATAGTAGGATCCCTAATATGGTTTGAGGTATATTCCTTAATTAAGGGATTTTGGAAGGTCTGGGACAAACGAACGCAAAGTTTCTCAGGCATTCTTTTGGAACACATGCTTACTCCCAGTAAGGGCTGCCAAGTTTAGCTTCCATAGTTGAGCTAGGACAACTATGGACAGTAACAAACCCTAAACCCCAAAAAACCCTCTTATTAATAGACTAAGTAGCATAACCCCAATAAGGGCTTGTGTTTAGGGCGCTTATAAGTCTACCTACTAAGTCCCCCGACCCTAAACCTTAAACCTTAGCTATGCATCGACCCTTTGTATCAAGATCCTGAACATCCCCGCCCCGCGCAGACATACACAAAGAGGACATATGGGGGTTTCCGAAAATGAAGGGTACCTTATTTTGGGGTTCTTGTCAGAAGGGTCCTATTCTTTTAGTGTCCGATACTAGGGTCCCCTGTTTTCGGAAACTCCCATATAGCAATCGTGGACATAAAGGGGTCGACTTTTCCTGATCATCATGGTATAGCCAGCCATAGTATGGCATCTGGATACAAAGAGGTATACATGTCCCGTAAAGCTCCTAAACCCCTAAACCTTAAACTATGATGCCCAGTAGTACCCCTATTCCATTTGCCCAGTCTTAGGTTTTTTTTATCAAGTTACTAAATACCAAAAAGGGAGCCCTTTTTATTCCTAGGTTACTGGGCATCCTAGCCCAGACCTTCCAAAATCCCTTAATTAAGGAATATACCTTAAATCATAGTAGGAGCCCTAATATGATTTAAGGTATATTCCTTAATTAAGGGATATTAGAATCCCCTAAACCCTATAGATCCCTTATAGATCCCTTAAAGGAACCCCTAAGGATCGCTTTAAAGGAACCGAACCTAATCACCATGGAGTTCGAGGCTCAAGCTGCCTCCAAATACTGGGTTCTCTGTCATGGGCCTTGTTTTTGCTTCTGTAGTTCAGAATTGCCTAGAGGCTCCATCGTAGTTCCTTAGATTCATAGTGCTCTAGGGCAATCAAAAAAAGAAAGTATTATGAAGCCCCTGGGTAAGTAAGAGAGCGCTGGCTGTGCACGGCCTTTGAAATATTGAAGGTTCTCGCCCCGTCAGAGCGTCGTTACGACCCTACATGTAGTCTCCGTTGTGGGGTTACCTTTTAGGATCCTTAATATGTACTTGGTTAAACCAAACAATGGAACTGTAATGTAGACCATAGTTCATATAACCCTAAGGGTCCATGTGCCCAAAGTTTGGGCACAAAGCACTAGATATTTTGGCCTTTAAGTACTCGCCATATAGGTACTTTGGGGCCTAAGTATATACTATTTGGGTACCTGGACCCTTAGGGTAACATAATATTGACTCCCATAAGTTCGGGGGCCGGACAGTTGTCTCAAATTGCTACACTACTCTCGGGGATCCACTTATGCAGCTAGTGAGGTTGAGCCCTTAAGCCCTAAGCCCGGACTGGTTTAGGGTTTAGGGGAGCCCGGCGGAAATCAAGAAACATTGACGGTGTCTCGGCATCCCTTCCCCAAGTGCCCCCAAAGACGCTTCAGCCGCCCTCGCGGGCTCCCACGGCGGAGGAAAAGCACACTGGGAAGAGATCTAAACCGCAAGATCCGAAACCTTAATTCGTAAACTCGAAGCCCCAAATACCCCGAACCCGAGACCCTATCTTCTGGTCAGCTATCCTGAGTTATCCTGGTAAGGAAGCTTGTAGCAACAATTAGAAGCACTACATTGCAAGGCCGATTCAAAACGAGTTGCGTTGTAGCAATGCAAGATTGAGAGCACGGCATCCGAGCAAACTACAATCACGTTTATTAAACTATTATTTCCTTTGGATTTCTCACATAAGCCCGGACAATATTCAACAGTTTATGTTTATTATTATTGTTCTAAGCGGTGTATAGTAAAGCAGAACCAGGAAACCGTACAAACCATTACGGCTATCTCTCAAAAGTGGCATAAGGCGCTGTAGCATCTCCCATCTTCCTGCTTGCAGCCACACAAACCTACCCTGAGGGTCCCTGTCCCTGTACTCATATAGTACATACATTGGCCCTATCGTTCTCCCTATATATGTAGGTACATTGGGCCCAAAGTATATACTATTTGGGTACATGCAACCTTAGGGCTACCTGTCCAGGGCCGAGGTTTCCTTATTACGGTGTCTTCACGTAAATGCTGAACCAGACAGGTTGTTTGGGCCACAGGTGAACCCTAATCCCTATAAGCCCTAAACCTCCAAAAAGCCAGGGGAGCGGGACGAGAAGGAGCCAGAAAGACCTGTGGAGGCCACACTATAGGGCCCTGTTTGATAATGGGTTTTTGGTTTAGAGGTTTAAGGTTTGAAGTTTAGGGACGTCAGGGTTTCATAGGGTTCAGGGCGTTAGGGTTTAGTGGTTTCGGGTCTACATAATATTATAGGGTGTGCGCGAGTGAGTGAGTGAGTGTGTGTGTGTGTGTGTGTCTGTGTCTGTGTATGGGGGTGTTCCTTGCGGCGGGCTGTATGAGTCCAAGTGTAAAAGGAGGGACCCTTAATAAGGACCCCTATAGGTATATACCCTGACTCAATATAGCTAGTATATACCCATTATATAGCCCATTATAGGGTAGGGGTCCCCATTAAGGGTCCCTCCTTTTCCCCTTTGAATAAGGATTCGATATATAATGGAGGGCGGTGCTTTTGGGGGTTTAGGGTTCAAAGCAGCCGAAGCATGTCTTGGGACCCTCATTTAC